CAAGTCAATTGTTCTCTTCAACATTCAAGATGGTTATGTCGATGTTTAGGGGTAGCAGGGAGCACTCAGCGTGGCATAATTGAAAAAAGTCTTCCATATTCTGCAAGCCATGAATTTTCAATAGGTTTGTTCTGCATCAGTCTTGTGCGACGATCTTGACGTTCTGTTTTTTTTCGACGCCGTTCTGTGTCCCTCGATTTAAACTTCACTATAGGCAAGAGACATTCGCCGACCGTTCTGTGTGTGAATTTGGATCAGCCCGAGTCTCTGACGACGCAGAAATAACATTATAAGACCATTGATACCGATTCATACACAAAAGTTTTGACAAATTGTGCTCTTGCGCCATATATTTAGCCATTCAGTTCATCAACTTCATCAGGGCCAAGGACATTTGCACCAAAATTCGGTCTTAGATTCAGTGTGATCCAATCCCTAATAGTTATGTAATTTGAGGAATAGTCTATTTCTTGTTACGTTTACCAATTTCTTATAATGTTTATTAATAAGAGTAGTTTTTATTAGATTTAGAAATGGAAATCGATTTATATTAAATTTAATAAAGACATTTATGGATTCGACCGTTACTTGATGGAAATTCATTTTATGTAACAATAAAACACTGAAAACTAAAAGTTTTCAGTGTTTTATTGTTAATAAAGAAAGTTTAACTTAAACTAGAACGATTTCGGAAGTGGAAATCAAAACGTTAAAATGAACTTATTTTTAAAGTAAAATTGTGGCTTATTCAGATTAAAAATAGTAAATAGTTTTCACTAGATATTCACCAAATAGGTGCTGGTACCTCGTAATTTGAATACATGACCAATTAAGGTTGTTACTAAAACAGTGCGTAGTATATTTCCATTAAAGAGATAAACTTAATATATGGAAATATTTCATTCGTAATCGACCTCCCTAAGTATATTTATGCGTTAGGAGATACCCTAACAGGTTTCTGTAATAAAAATTATTTTAATTTTCACGTCTGCAAGATACTTAGCGGAGTTTGTTTACAATTGACGTTCGTAGTTCTCCTTGCTTGAAAAGGTTATAATAATTAAAATACTACAAAAACAACCATAGAAGCATAAAAGATACAGAATTTATGGAAGAACAATGATACTTCAAAAAAAAAGTCTTGCGGTATTTTAATGAATTTGCGGAGTATAAAGTATTTCGACCAGTGGTTTCCAAACCAGTGGTATTCATTTATAGGTTGAATATAATATTATCTCAGCATTCTGGACGAAATTTGGGTTTCAATATGTTGTATAGACAAAAAGTTAGATAATTAATTAAACCACATCTGGACTTAAAAATAGTTCGAACGTTTTTCACATTTGGTCCCATTGAAAATAGCGTCAAATGGGTTTTACAGAATAAAATATTGGTGTTTGGCAGTGTTGAAATTTACATTACAAATGAAACATACGTAATTAAAAGCGATAAGATATTTAAAAACTAATACTTAAAAATTACCAAAAAAAAAGTTAATAGTTTTAAAACAGTTTCTAAAAGTAAATAGTAAAATGTCAGTATAAATAATAAAGTTAAAAAGACATATGTTGTAATCTGGCAACTGGTAGTTTGAGGGTTCTACTATTGCCAAATCTATCTGCTAACCTATCAAAGGACATTTGCCAAAAAAAATTCTAATAATTAATTGCAATTAATATCAAACGATACAAATATTAATTAAGTAATGTTTTATATAAGGTATAAAATTGCAGAATTCATAGAATAATATAATGTAAAAATGTATATTTTAAATCTTTACCTCTTTGTATTTGAAGCATATAACATAACATAAGGACACGGCAACACTGCCATCGCAATATTTTGTTCTGTGAAACTTAATTGACAGCTAATTTGAGGCTATCCTCACTGGTACCAAAATGTGAAAAACGTCCAATAGTTCTATTAAACCAAACTTACTAATTTTCACCTAAACGCCAAAATTTTTGCTTTATGAATAAATTATTTTGGCATTATTAGTTTAACACTATTTTTGAAAAATTGTTGCTTTTTTTTATTAAGTACTTATAAAATTTCTATATCATATTTCAAAAATTCTGTGGACTGATGTTAAAAACTGATTGTTAATGACTGATGTTGTTTTTTGTTATACTGTTAAACTCTTAGACAAGGAAAGAGAGGGGACGAGTAATCCTACGGAATTGACTGAAGCCAAACCGGCACCAGAAAGGTTGCCAGGTGATATTTTATTTCTTCAGTAGATTAAGAATAATGGATATATATATCAATAAATAGAGTTTTTAAAATTTATAATTGAACACTGACATAATGATAACTTTTTGAACATGGTTTTTATCATTAGGTACGTATTTGTTAGTACATCGATATAGTGTTTCAGTAATTCAGTAAGTTGAAGTTGAAATCAATAGATCTACCGAAAAATCAGTAGACCTGGTAACCCTGCGAGAGGTAGTAATGGACAACGTACGGGCACCAAAACATGGTGGATCTGTTTTGAATCGGACATTTTCCATCGGTCTTTTTTTTAGCTGGAATCACTTTACAAATTTACAAAGCTATGCTTGGACTAAAATAAGCGTTAAATAGTCGAATATTTTGTTACATGTAAAAAAAGGCTCAACCTTTCAAAGGCACTTTAAAAAATTAGAATCGTTGTAGTCATAAAAAAAGTCGTTTTCGCGTAAAAATGGCTCCAAGTGCATGGAGGTAGATTGGGGTACCCCTCGGAGCGCCGAGCAAAAAGTGAATTCTCGAGTTCAAAATCACAACGCGCTCCAAAAATTGCATTTTCTCGGCTTCCTGTAATCTCTAATCTTTATTTTAATTGCAAAACGGAAAATTTGCAGTACAAATTTGTGCCACTCAATTAACGCATTTTGTTGCGGTGCAGTTTTTGTTTCTAAACTTGCAAATTATATAATTAAATACATTTATATATATATATATATATATATATATATATATATATATATATATATATATATATAAATTAATAAGTTCTCGGGAAGAACCGCGTTGAGAATAGAGTTCGCGGTCTCAATCTGCCTACTTCTCTCACGAGTAGGCAGATGTGTTCAAGCTGTTAATGTTCCATGTAGATTCAGCTATTATGGGAGAGAGAGGGATCCCATTGGGTCACCTTTGATTTGACGATAGAAATGATTTTGGAATGAAAAGTATGTATTAGACATGCAGTGTTTTATAAGAGATAGTGTGCCTTGGGGGAGTTGATTTTAGAGTCCAAGATTGAGTTGGGAGAGGAGTGACAGAAAAATTTAAGCCTTTGACAGAGCTTTGGTAACTGAAACGGATGCTACAATGCTCCTTAGCATTGTTTTGGAATTTTTTGGAATTTTAAAATCCTGCTTAATTTATATTAAAGTCCTTCGTGTCATACTTTATCAATGCTCCACGTCGAATAAGACTGCGGAGCAAACTTTCTTTTCTTCTAGTAACCTCTCTATTACATCTGTTATTCTATAGACTTGGCCTGAATGAGAGAGAACATAGAATGAGAAAAATCGAAACCGAAATTAGTGTGCTGGAATTAGAGCTTTAGCATCTATAGGAGATTTTAGCATTTTAAGCAGAAGGTTGTACGAGATTATACTGTATTTGGTTGCTTTCCAGGCTTACGGAAAATTGTGACCTCTGCTACTTTCCATATCGTAATGTGAACGAGGCATTTATTAGATATATCAGTTTTACTATGACTTTTCTAGGGAGTTGTTTTACGATTACTCTAGTAGTTAAATCAAAGCTAGGTGCTTTCCTGGTATTGATTTTTGCTTTAATTTTGTCTGACACTTCTTCTGGAATTACTAGTTTAATTTCACCTTCTTCCTGTATGTTTCCCACTTAAGTGTGTTATCACCTTCATTTGGCTGAAATGTTTTCTCGAGATATTCAGCAAATTTACTAGCTTTCTCTAAATTGTTTTTTGCTCAGATTCCATCAGTCACAATCAGTTGTGATATCATTTATTAGTTGTCTTAGATAGTTACTAATTGATTCGTTTTTATGTTTTCTAATTCTCTTTTAAACTGTTTAGTAGCATTATTTTGTTTAGTTTTATCAGAAGGTGCTTCTAGAGTATTGCCAGATCCTTCTGAGTTTGATTTTTTCCTCGGTAAGTTTTCTAAATCGAAATCATATAAAGTTAACTAAAATATACCTTGTACCAGACGTTTCATCTAATCATAATCTCATAATTCTCCACTTATACTAATAAAAAATTATTCTCGTTGGAAAAGTATACCCGGTCACATTACAAATTTATATTAGACGGATATGAGCTAATAGAGCTAAAGTACTGCGGAAAACAAGTCTCAGAATCATAACCCACTTTCTTTATTGTTGTTTATATTGATATTTTAACAGAAACCGAACATAAAATTTTTATTAGCGACACGCTTACAACAAAATCACCGGTTATTTATGTATGATTGTAATTATTAACATTTATTAAACAATTAATTCATATTTTATAATTATATATATTATTTTTTAGTATTGACATGAATAATAAACGTAGATACTATAACGTCTTTATTAATTCTAATTTATTGTTCTTATCTTAATTTACTAAAGGTTCAATATTTATAACACTCACGAATTTATCAAAGTCTTTATTACTACTAATTTATTTCACACTTCATGTACGTGCGATACAATTCTAACGCGAGACCGGACTTCTTTTCTTGACTAACCCTCCTCTATGAGAATCACCGTTGTTTATATGAAATGCCGTTATCTAGAAGGGTCTGACGATGACGTTCCATCCATTAGGTGACTCATTCAGCAGGACTAGAAAAATCGGTCGACTGCATTATTGTTACCTGGACTGGTTATTCGACCCTTTTAGAGAATTCGGTAGTATTTGACCTAGAACATTCGTGAATGAGTAAATATGTTTACAGTTTTTATACTTCATAATATTTATTATTGTAACAATACCATTAAATTTATATACATTAATTATTTTTTGTTTGCTTTGTTGCAGAAGAGAAAAAAATTTTGAAAAATGTCAGTGGAATGCTACGTTCCGGTGAACTATGTGCTATTATGGGACCCTCTGGTGCTGGAAAATCCACCCTACTCAATATACTTACTGGATACAAGTAAGATTTCCTGATTTTTTCTGTGTTTTTCTTACAGGAAATTAGAATGTGAGAAACGGCGCCAGCTCTAGAAGACTCGCCTATCCCTGATTATAAAGAACGCCATGACTCAGTAGGAAAGATTATCCACCAAGAACTAGCAGACTCGCCTATTATTATTATTATTATTATTATTATTAATTACAAAAGTAAACTGCCACAATATGGCACAAACGGATTTAGAACAGTTATTGTATTGAAAATTTTATTTTATTGTTTTGTAGAAGTATTATCTGGTATTATGTAAATATGATGAGATGCTCAGATGCCTTGGATGCACAGTGTGCAAGTATTTAATGGAAAAATATTTGATTTTTGGGAATCCCTCTATTTCTCGTATTTTCTTATAGTCAATTGGTCAGTTGGCTTCCCGTCGCCATATTGTTTTACTTTAATATTATGTAAAAGTATTCAGTTTAATATTAAGTAAAAAGTACGACTTATTAGTGAAGTTTGTCCAAGACGTTATATTCGTTATTGAATACACCTTGATTATTTGAAACTTAAAACCATCTCGGAGTGTTTCTTTCTTAACCGCAATATTTTGCTCGACATCATAAAACTCGTTCCGTCGCTAATTTCGACATTATATGCAGAATTATTTAGTGAAAGTATCAAATAACTGCAAACATTACGTAAATGAAATATTTTCAAAAATGTGTAAGACTCTCCCTTTGTTGTACGTAATAAAAAATACATTTAAAAGCAACAGCCGATTTAATTATGTAAACATTATTTAATTTTCTTATACCTTTTAATATGCATCAATAATTTTTTAATTTCCATTTTTTTACGTCTTCTTTATTCAATATTTGGTTGTGTCCATCTTTGGCACACCGCATCCAATCGTTTTCAGTTGTCTTTATATTGTTTTGGCTTCATACAGTTTTTACCGGTCATTATGAAAATATCAATAAACCATATAAAGCTTTTTCAGTCTCTAACACATTTTTTGCAATAATCTCATCGGTGTATTAGTAGTTTTTAGATGACCATAATTTATTTCTAGCTAGGTCATAATATGTTTTTGCTTTAGTTCAATTAGGTCGACGACGTTGAATGAGTAAATGGGTTTCCTTTTTGGTAACGTTATAAACAATCAGGTTATTAAACTATTTACTTTCCTTACGTAGATGATTCAAACAAGAACGGTATCTTTATTGATCTTAACCTCATTTTAATCAATTGCGCTAATGTAATTTGCGAACTACATACAAAGAAATTTAAAATTTGTTAAAAAGATGACAACTTTTATTGTGCATCATCAATAAACTATTCTTATTAAGACCTTATAGCGTAATCTCTTGAAGAATAGAGTGCGTAAGGAAATTCACAATTTCTCTTCATTTTTTGTACAGACAAATTTGTCCATTGTCTAATATAGGTATCTTGCAAATGTCTCCATCTCTCCATGTCTTTATCAGTTGGTGCTACAGCCCTCCCGGGCCTGCCTTCTCTGTCGAGTGTCTTCTCCATCCCCTTATTCCAGTCTCTTTTAAATCGTCCTGCACATCGTCCAGATATCTGAGTTTAGGTTGCCCCTTGTTGTTTTTTAGACCGGCCTATCTAGCATGGTTATTTCAGCAGGATCACTTTTATCCATCCGCATAACGTGACCCACCCATCTTAAGCAGGAAATTATATCGCCTTCTCCCCAGACCCTGTTCGTCCTCAATACTTTTCTTTCAAAGATTCGTAGTAACTCTTTATCTTGACTCGTGATTGCCCATAATTCTGATCCATAAGCACTAAACATGTTATTGTTTTATAAAGTTTGCATTTTGTTGCTCTTGACATATTTCTCGCTCTTAGATGAGTGCCTAGGCCAAAATAACAGTGGTTAGCCCAGCATATTCTTTTTCTTATTTCTTTGGATCTGTTGTTTTTGCAGTCTACTAATGATCCTAAGATAAGAGGAGGAAGGAGTATAGGAAGAGGGAGAGTATCATGGTTGAAGAATTTAAGGGACTGGTTTAAATGCAGTTCTATAGCACTCTTTAGAACAGCAGTAGATAAAGTAAACATAGTGGGAGACACGTCTCCAATTGGGAGACGGCACTTAAAGAAGAAGAATGATCCTAAGTAGAAGAATTCTTCCACCGTTTCTATAGTGTTGCACCAAAAGTTATTTTATTGCATTCTTGATATAGCTGGCATATATTTAGTTTTCTGGGTGTTAAGAAGTCCGATGTTTTCTGAGATATTTTTAGTACGTGTGAAAGCTACAACTGCTTCATTTCAGGTTCTTCCAATGATCACGATATCATCAGCATATGCCATTATATATATATATATATATATATATATATATATATATATATATATATATATATAACCAAATAACGCAGTTTATTAGGGGTTGCAGTCAGAATATTGGCCGGGATGTTAAAAAAACACACTCTTTTGACTTTTTTGTCGAGCTTTTCTTGTCCAAGATAAATGGTTTTATTCCTTTTTCAAGACACTGTAATAAGACAAAAATGTAAATATTTAAAAAATATCACAATTCTTCAGTGTAACTTACTAGTCGTTGAGATTATTTATATAAGCATTTACACTCAACATTTATAACACACATTAAAATATACAATTATGGACAGAATACATTATAAAATTTTTAAAATTTATTGTATTGTATATATATATATATATATATATATATATATATATATGTCGTATTTACGTGAATTGTCTTAATCTTCATGGTTCCACTTTGAACTTAGAAAACATTCATACTTTTAAACCAAATCATCCTAGAGTGCATTTCACGCAATGTATGGTAAATTAAGATATTACGAATATGGACCGTACATACGTATACGATTCACTGAGCAAGGGAAAGTTTTGACATAAATAAAATAAACCGTCGGTTCCATACTTTTTGATTTGAAAACTCGAATGAAATTTGAATAATCATAAAAAAATAGGAATAAAACAATATTCGTGTGTCATTATAATTTGACATATTGTGGTACACTAGACTATAGACAGTTTATATAATTGGTGTGATTCTTAATTTAAACAAAAATATTATATAATTTTTATTCTATAAGTCAAGTTTGAATCGTGAATGTTAGATCATTTTATTTCTTTGTGCTGCAATGTCTGCTAATAAATTTATAAAGGAGTAAATTATATTTGTGCCTAATTCTAAAGAAGTATCTTTTAAAATATGTTCCATCACATTATGTTGGAGGATGTTTTACAGATAGCAAAAATTTATAAAGAACAAAAAATTTGTCTAAATGACAAAAATATTAATTGTTTTTTTCTGTTATTATTATTAGTAATAGAAGTGTATTATTTAAGCACGTGTGGTTGATTTTACAGGTTTGGTTACATATAGAATAGAGTCGTAAATACGGTTATGGATTTGTCGGTTTGTCTGTCCTATGTATTCGTCGCTGATTCAGATTTCTTGCTTTTATATGTGTATATATATATATATATATATATATATATATATATATATATATACAAGTTATTTATAACATATTAGGTACATTTTATACATACCTTATAGCATTCCTTGCTGTTATATTAACCCATAAATAGCCGGTAACTCTAATAATGAGACAAATATTTTCAAGACGTGTGTTTGGCAATATCTTCGGTAATTAAACCAAAAAGGAAAAAAAAATAATTTTTTTTATAGAAAAACGGCTGATTCGTTTATGTACCGTTTGTAAATACCTTTAATTTTTTTCTTGAATCAATTTTATGAAGGCTGAGGTAGGTTATTTTTGTTAACTACTATCACATATGGATGTGAAACGTGGACCCTTTCAACCACGATGAAAATCAAAGATTACCAAAGATGAGGTCCTGAGATAGCAGGACAATAGCGAATAAGGCAGACTGGCTATATATATATATATATATATATATATATATATATATATATATATATATACAAAGTAGTACAAAACAAAATAGCCGATGGTGTTCATAATCATAAAACAAAGAAACACTGATATTTTGTAATATTTTTTAATTATACATATAAGCACGTATATGTGTACATAATGGTAAGTTGATTAAAACGTGTGAACTTACGTATATAAAAAAGTTAAAACATAAATATAAACACTAAAAAATTATTTAAAAAAGTTAACTTTAAGAACAAGTTTAAAGTTTTTAAGTTGGATAAAACTAATTGCTTACATTTAAACGTGAGACAACCTTCACGGTTAAGCAAAAAAATGACATTAATGTTGTATTAATTTGGTATGTAACATAACTGGTTATTATACAAAAGACAGAGTCCACTGTACATCGATCAAACAAAACACAATTATACAGTGTGGAAACCACTTATGGAATAAAATTGTTTGTGTCATTGTTTTAAAAAATCATAAAAAATGGTGGGGCTCGTCGACCAAATGTAAAATGTACCTACAGAATGATTGACGGAAGTCTATATTCTTTATTTTTAATAAAACAACCTTTTAAAAGGTCCTTAACAACCTCAACTCAACGAACTATATTATGTATTGTCTATAATGAATAACATAGGGTGAAATTTTGAAATTATTCTTCTTAGGATGCCTGTCCGAATGATCGCCATCGTTCAGAAGAACTAGCATCAAACTTAAGTGATAGATGTTAGTCCTCCGTCCATTTTACTAGTGCATTTCCATTGCTGTTGCATTGTTTATATTTTCACTGTTCATCTTGACTGTTGTAGTCCCCCGTTTATACTGACGGGTGCGGATGACTTAAGCTAGTAGTTTGTAGGTGTTAGTAACGGTGATGCTTCCAATTTTTACATTATGAATTTCATCATTAGTACACGTGAAAACAAGGAAGGCGTTTTCTATGTTTTGTTTAACGTACGTTGCTATGCCGTATAATCGATGGTATGTGGTACCCAGTAGTTCGAAGCCAGGTATTTTTGCTTTTTTTTGCAGTTGTTCTTCCGTTTCGCAGTGGTTTTCCTGTAGAGCGACCAGATCGATATC